CCCCCCATACACACACTGTCCCCATACACACAATTCCCCACAAACACTGTCCCCATACACACACTGCCCCACAAACACACACTGCCCCCCATACACACACACTGCCCCCCACATACAACACTGTCCCCATACATACAGTGCCCCCTAACACACACACTACAACCCTGACATACACTGCCGCACTCACACACTTCACCCTTAACACACACCACTGCTCCTATACCCTATATCCCAGCAGACCCCAGGTAAGTTGTCAAACTGTTCTTAAATGGTATTGTGACGAAACGCCTTTTGTCACCGGATTTTCCCCTGGCTGTTGGAGGAGCCTGATTGCCAGCCTCTTGCCTCATGACTATGGCCCTGGGTTATTTGGCCCTTCAAGTACAATATTTGGGCATATTGGATTTATATGGTGCTGCTGCTGGCCCTTTAAAAACCATCCCTGGACATATTATGACTTTTAGGAACAATGTCCCTTTAAGACTGTGTAGCAGATTGCATTCAGGCGGTCTGCAATATTATATATGCTATTATGTGTTCGGTAAATTGGAAATGTGTAGGTTCTATGTGATAAATGTAACAGTATGTATTTTTATGTCTTTTGTTGTCCTTTGTCTGCCACGTGGCTAATGGAGTTTTGCCTCTGTCCTTGGAGATAATTGCATTACTTCTCAATTATCTCCAGAATAGAAGACTCTGAAACCAGTTTGGGCCAGATAGCCATGCTGCCAGCCAGGCCCCAAAAGATACTTGTGCTAACTTCTGAACCCCTGGTCTGATTCAGGCCATTTTTTAATATGTTATTCCCCTGAATGGATTGATTGTGAATATGTAGTTTTATGTGAATGTGATGTATAGTTTTATAGTTATGAAAGTTGGGTAAAAAGTGTGTTTTAAAATGTATGGATAATTGGGTTACCTCTCAGGCTAAGGGGAGGAGATGTGTGGGATGTAACCATTGTGTGATTGGTTGTACTGTGTCCCACCCAGTGGGATGTCCCCTTGCATGGGGACCTGCATAAAAGAAGGTTCTTTGTGTGCCAATAAACAGATCATCTTGTACCTTCATGAAGTTTCGGCTCATGTTTGGGGGATTGGAGAAACTACACTCTGGGGATTGCTATAATCACTATACTCCCCAGGGTATAATCACTAAGCTCTGCTAAGAGCTTGTTCCTGTTCCTGCTCTCTGGAATTGGAGAGAGGTCGACCTGCTGGAAGCTGGACCCTGGTCCTGGGTCCAGAGTGGGTGGAGACGGCGAGATCCCAACCAAGCTGCGGCGGTTCGTGGGGTCTGCAGTGGTTATGGTGTCAGGCAGAGTGCTTGGAGTCCTCGGAAAGCACTAGGAGCATCCGTCGGCGGAAGGGGTGCCAGCGGTTCCGTTACAGGTATGACTACTTACTCTGGGGTGGAATCCTGGCACTACTGACACCATAACTACTACACTGAGCTGTAGTGGTTATTGTGCCTGGATTATTTATTTAAATAATCTACAAGTGCCCCTCCCGAGATCAGGCTCTGGATCCGCCACTGGTAGCACCTACAGCCATTAAATCAGCCACCACCCTTAAATGATAATCTGGGAAAGGGGTTGAGAAGATAGAATTGTAATAGATGTGACTGCTGAAAATAGCATCTGATGCCAAGGAGGTAACTCATAACAATCTCACTTCAGAACACAGATGTCCAGGGTTTGCCCTAAGATTTAAGAAAACCTTTCCCTAAAGATACTCCAGTCACCTAAAGTTAGAAGATATAATTAACTGCTTATCTCTGCAGGCTTAGTTTACTAAAGAGTCAAGAAATCTTTTTTATAGATCCTGGGTCAGTATCTTGCCTTACGACAAAGCAGAAATGTGTGCTTCAGAGTAGAGACTCTTCTACAGCTGAAATAAAGATGAGTTTAATAAATAATGTAAAACCTTTCAGTGCTGAAATCGGAGTTACTAATCTAAAACATTTAAGGAATATTCCAACTAAAAAAGTATAATATTGGAGTATCCCCTATATATTATGTGTTGTGCTTGTCATTTCAATGGCTGATGATGCTTTCTAATCTCATAATCCATGTAGGGTAATATCAAATTCGACATCATGTGCCCAAGCCCGCCAGGAAGCAGCAGCCACTGTTAATAAAGCTTCACTCCTGCTGTAGAAAGAGGATCTCCCAAGGCTATTCACTAAAGACCAGATTTTTTTCTTGATCAACAAAATCCAGTGAAAATTTTCGAATTCTGACCGCAGGGGCAATTTTCATATTTACTAAATAGGCAGTGAGATGTAACTCCCATCCATCTTGGGTAAACTGGGGCACGTATGTTCCTCTGATACCTTCACATTAAAGATATACTAGTATTAACCAAAACTCTATCAATAACCTAACTTGAAGCATTACTTTAAGCACCATGTCCACATCAACATTTTGAAATAGTCACAGTATCTGGCATCTGTATGTGCAGTGTTTCCCAATAAAATGGCACACATACTTTTGCCACTGGAAATGTAACCAACGGAACATGCCAAAAACAGTACGCACTAAAAGGGACACTATCTATTAATTATTTATAGTTTGTTTGAAATATGTTATGTTATAGTCTTTGACTCTTCCATCTTCTCCCTGTTTCACTATAATTATGACACAACATGATAGTTGAGCAGTTTGTCTCCACTGTGTATCAGTGGGATAAATAGCTGATATAGCATAATGAAACTTTGAGCTAAAGGGTGATGTAGCCGGCAGCCAAGCACCATGAATGTGTGTAAGATATTGTCTGGCTAGGTACATCTCATTCCCAAAGATGAGATGCTGAAATTATGATTCACTAGAAGTGGATAGATTGAGAATTTCCAAATTCAAAAATGATTTAACATTAAATGTGTGGACAGTACCAGGTGTCTTCAGGATTTATAACCAATTCAGGGAGATTAAATGGATATAATGCCCACAGCGTCCATTAAAGTAATATATACTTTATAGTTTATGCGTGCAAACGTGTAATAAATTTTTAATTTTTTTAAATGTAAACAAAATAGCCATATTAGGTATTGTAATAAAATATGCTTGTGTTTATTGCTCCTGTTATAATGATAATCATCTGAAAATTAAACGTCAAACTGCAGGTACTATATTAGAATATTTGTTATATTTAAATAAAATTCTTTGGGATGTCAGATTGATCAAATTGCAGTTGCTGACATTATCCAGTTTTAAATTAGTTGCACTCACCTTGTCTGGATGTTTCTCTCTTTTGTCCTTCAACACAGAGACGGCTTCACTGGAGTGAATGAGACGGATGTTGACTTGTGCTTCACCGGGCCATGGCAGGAGGAATGTTGCTAGATAGCTCCCATTTCTATAGTCTTTCACGTGGCCAGTTACTCCAGCTTTAAGTTTCGGAGAGTGAAGCTTGACCTGAAAATAGTCTCCTCCATAGGTCTTAGGTCGAGCCATGTGGTCTTTTGCCATGATGAGAACTTCTAATGTCTCTCCAACTTTGTACTTGGCCCTCTTATTCACTATGTGATATTGACTTTGTTTGGGACTGGTAGAGTTAGAATACTGGAGCTCTTTTAGTGGAATATCAGGCCATTGTATTAGACTTAGAAGTTTGACGAACGCAGTGTTTATCTGTTGCAGGTTAAGATTGTCGTCACTAGAACGGTTTGACCATGCTAAAAACATTCTAGGTTGGGGCACCTGGTAGTTTTCATAAAATCCAATTCTCATTGACCTATAAAAAAACTGCAGGAGTTACACATTACTTATTTGGAATAGAAATTAGATATATATTTATTAATAATACAGTCTATTCAATATGACATTGTCATGTTGTGCTTGCATCACCAGCTATAACTCGAGTACACAAAAGGGGATTGCACACATCCATCACAATCCACCACAATTCCAAAGAGAGTGTGGGTACACAAATGTGGCTTCAAGCAGTCTTTAATTGGATAATGCAAGTGACTGATTGAGCCACCTTTGTGTTGGACTCTTTTTGGAATTGCATCAGCTTCTCCAGATAAGTCTTCTCCGACAACCTTGCACAAGGTTCATCTGCCAATCTCGTCCCTGTTAGTTATTTCACAGATCAGACTACCTTCTGCTGTCTGCTCCTGTCACCTTATTTGAATTGCCTTTTTAAGGTAGTTCTGCTTTCATTTCAGTGCACTTGTGCATCTGTTTGTATGGCTATTTTTGTATCTTGTCCTATTATGTTTGCTATACTTACAGCCCTCTTTCTTGTTTTGTATTAATCACGGAAGCAGCTTGTATCAGTCTTGGAATATTTACAATGATCTGTTTCAGGTACCTGTGTATTTACCTTAATCACTTTGTATAACTTCTCTACAGCAATGGTGTTGTTTCTCAAGACATTTACCATTCCTGCATCACATTTTCTACCTATAAACTGTTATTATTTACTAAACTCTGCAAGATAGATAAATCAGACTGTTTAACCTGTCAGCTACCTGTTACTATTGTAGTTGGTATCTGTCAAACCTTCACGTCTCAGCTACTTATGTACTGCCATATCACTCTTATTTTTCATTGTTGTTTTCATTTCAGTATCAAAAACGTAATACTATAGTCATTAAAACAACTTTAGCTTAATGAAGCAGTTTTCGTGTATAGGATCATAAATTGCTTTGTTTATGTAGCACTAGTCACCATGGGCGTCCGCAGGAATTTTTCCAGGGGGGGGCATAATTGTAATGTCATCCATGCTTGGTACCTTTTTGACAGTGTCATGAAAGGGAAGGGGCATAGCCATTATCACATAAAGCCAGGGTGAATAGCGTTTTCACAACTATGGTGTCAGGAATATATGTTTGTATTCCTGACACTATAGTGTTCCTTTAAGCAAATTAAAGGACCATTCTGGTCACCATAACAACTTCACCTAAATGAAAATGCTATGATGCCAGGAAGCCCCTGGGTGCTCGCTTTCCTTTAAGGGGTTAAATCACTCTCAAATGGTTTAACCCCAAAGGCTTCCTCCAGCTCCAGGTCGCTCAGTGGTATTTGGCTTCTGAAACAGAGTGTCAGGAAGTGCAGATTGACGTCAGGCATGGGTGCCGCTGATTGGCTAGAGTGGACAGTTGACGCTCTAAGCCAATCGCTAGTTCCCGGTTCATAAAATATTTTTACTTTTTTATGAATGGGGAGCTACTGATTGGCTTAGAGTGCCAGCTGACCGCTCAAGCCAATCAGCAACACCCCTACTCAATGGCACTCTGTGCTTCCTGACACTCAGTAAATAAAAGTGAACACATTAACACTGATATTTTTTTACCTTTGGAGATGAGAAGGTCCAGCGTTTCCCTACTTGGCCCAGGTACCAAAGCCTTATGATGTGGTGTCCAGAATAAAGTGGAGGGTTCACTTCATTTGTCCTTCCTGCTCCATTCTCCTTTTCCTCTCCTTCATTTGACAGTCTTTTTTTTTCCTTCTGACACTGTTTTCTATCCTTGGCCCCTTCTGCTCTTTTACCTTTCTGCTACTTTCTGCTTATTTAGCGCCCTTCTGCTCCTTTCTCATTCTGATCCCTTTCTGCTCCTTGCAGACCCTTTCTGCTCCCTTTTCTACTTTACCTTTGTGCTCCTTCTGATTCTTTCTGCTCCTTTACCTTTGTGCTCCTTCCTGCTCCTTGCAGGCCCTTCCTGCTCATTCTCCTATTTTACCTTTGTGCTCCTTCTGCCCCTTCCAGCTCATTTCTGACCCTTTCTGCTCCTTCTACTTTACCTTTGTGCTGCTTTACCTTCCAGCTCCTTGCTGCCCCTTTCTGCTCCTTGATGTCCCTCCCTGCTCATTTCTGTTCCTTCTCCTTTTCTTACTTTACCTTCTTGCTCCTTGCTGACTATTCATGTAGACTGTCTCCCCCATCCCTCACTTCCATAGGCGTGCGCACGGGGTGTGTCGGGTGTGCCTGGGCACACCTTAATCCCAGCAGCACGCCAATGGATTGAGATCGGCAGGGGAGATCTCTGGATTTCCCCAGTCGGCTCATGCAGAGCCGACGCTATCCAAGCGGCGGCTCTGGTCTAAGCCTCCATGGGCCGGTGGCGAGATCAAAGTTCTACCTCACCGGTCCACAGCAGCATGGAGGGAGGCAGCAGAGAACCCGGGCTAGAGTTCACTCTACACTGAACCACCAGGGAAGGCAGCAGGACTGTGATATTAACTAATCTGCCCCACTCCACCCAAACATACAGCACACACACACACCCACAGTACCTACACACAGCACACCCAGCACACTAACAGCACACTCACACACAAACAGCACCCTGACAAAAACAAAACACCCACACACAGCACACAAACAGGACCCGAACAAACATGCACACACAAACACCCTCTGCTGCCCCCCCAGCCTCACTCCCCTAATCTATAGGCTGCTGCCCCCCCCAGCCTCACTCCCCTAATCTATAGGATGCCCCCCTCACTCCCTAATCTATAGGCTGCTGCTCCCTTACTCTCCTAATCTATAGGCTGCTGCCCCCCCAAATCTATAGTCTATCTCAATCCCTCCCCCCCATCCCTCACTCCCCTGATCTGTAGGCTGTCTCTGGCTGCATGTGTTGTTCCCCTGCGGTTTCAATCAGCAGAGAGAAGCAGGGATAAGATGCAGCTTCCTATCATTGTCTCTCTCCATACACAGCGCCACCTACTGGCCGGCGCCGGTATTGCAGTTCATTCTAACTCTCACATGAAAAATATCAGAACAAGCTGAAAAATCCAGTGCCCCCCCTTGCCCCCCCCTGCGGATGCCCATGCTAGTCACACCTCCGTGCATGTGACTTACACAGCCTTTGTATACACTTTATTACATGTATGTACGTAGTGGGGAATTGCGATGCAGCCTAGAACAAAAACTAACCCCATTCAACCCCCCAATAATAACAAACCACTTAGTATGGATGAACAGGCCACAGCATTTATTATCACAAACTAAATTTACTGCATAACACATCCATAACTTTATTTATTAAATCTCTTCTTTTTCTGTAACCAAAATGTTAGACATAAATAAGCATAAATTAACATATATAACTCCACCCATAGTGTTATACAGTGACCCAACCGTCCTTGCCAATAAACATACCGTGGTTCCTAATCACCACTTCCTCTCACCTCCCCCCTCGTCATAAAAATCATATCTTTCCAATGCCCGCCATCAGCCGACCTTATCCACGCTCGATGGGCACGACACCTCGGGCAACCTAATGTTTAACCTTTTGAAGCAGGGGAGGTTGAGACCTTAAAAACTTGTTCATCTCATTCTATATACTTAAACGTAACCCCTCAAACTCAATTGGCAAGGACATACCACCGGCTAGCTGTGACAAAATATACTAATAGGGCGGGCGGGAGGGAAGCTGTTTGCTGGCCCAAATCCCAAGTGGCACTGAGGTAAGACCTCCCCCACACTAATTTACACAGAACATAATCCCACCCACACATTCTTTCCCAACCTATCCCATGCATCTATCCCCACACTCCTACATGTGCCCTTGTCCGTTTATCTGCGCTATCTCCCCAGGGCCTCATTCTGCTTAATTTAGAATTGAAGATTATGGTTGTTATAGGAGGCAAGTATTTTGCATATCTTTCTTTACTTAGCTCCATAGCAGCAAAGAAAATATATAGAAACAAACAAAAACAAAGTGTGTATACAAGGATCAATGCATTTTCTCTTTCCAAATGCGGCAAACAAAGGCAGAACAGTGAATAAGCAAATAAAACAGCCACATGTAACTTGAAAGCCAAGAATTAGCTTCCTGTAAAATAAGGACACCGTCAACAGGACCTGAACATCAGGCACGTCCATTGAAGTAAATTAAACTGAACAAGGAAAAATGTGTAATAGGCATAGTCATGAAGGACTAAGGAAATAAGCAACAAGTAACAAAACGTTAGTCATCCAATTATTCATAACTAGAGTTGAGCGAACCCGGACTGTAAAGTTCAGGTTCGTTCCGAACATTACGTTTTTAGGACCTCGGACCCGAACACGGACATATCACTGTATGTTCGGGTTGGAGTTCGGTGTTCGGCAATTTAATGACGCGTTTTGAAAGGCTGCAGGGCATTCATTTGCCCTTAAAAAGCCATCACAGCCATGCCCAGTGGTGTATCCTGGTTTTGCGCTGCCCTAGGCACAACAAAACTCAGGCACCCCCCCCCGCGCCACACCCACCCATCCCTTCCCCCCTGCCACGCCTTCTAACTACACACACACATTCACTGACAGATACGCATACACTAGCCAACAGAAATACACACTCGCTAACAGAAACACACACTAACAGACACAAACACACTAACAGACAAACACACTCACTAACAGACACACACTCACACACACTAACAGGCAAACACACTCATACTCACTAACAGACACACACACACACTCACTCACTGACAGACACACACACACACACACACACTAACAGGCAAACACACACTCACTAACAGACACACACACACACACTAACAGACACACACACTACCTCTTTACCTTTGGGAATGCTGGGGGGGTTCTTCCTCTCCCTTGGGGCTAGTGGGGCTGCTGGGTGGGCGGCAGGCGAGGGTTCACTGTCCTCTGAGCGCTCTGCTCCGCCCGCCGCCCGTAGAGTGATGCTGGGAGCCGGAATATGACATCACTCTGCGGCGCACCTATTGTCCTCCCTCCTGCCCCCCACCCCTGTGCGGCGGG